GTTATTTTATTTTTTTTAATTTACAACTTACGTTCTAGTTAGACGGTGATGTGCTAATACAATATTTTGTAATTGTAGGGGTGGTTGCGACATGTTCGCCATCAAGTACATAGAATTTTTGAGTGTAGCACAGAAGGTTGATGCAATCAACCAGGCGTGGATACAAAATTGGAAAAATAAATTAGCATGTGATTTATTTGAATTTAATGGTGATCCGTAGATATTGGAGCCATGTTTTTTTAAAATAATTGTACATATAATAACATTTAAACATTGTATATTTCATTCATTCATTTGTAACTATGAAATAATTGTAAAATATATATTATTATTCTAATATTTAATTTTTATTTTGTAGTTTATGTGTTTATTTAAATGTTTCATGACGTACTTATAATGTTTGGGTATATTGTGAGGAACGCACTGTGTTTTAAAAAAAAACTTCAAATACTATGAAACTAATTAATGAAATATTGAAATAAAAAAACTAAATCTAATAATTAATAAAATAATTAACATTAAGAATATGAATAAATAATTAACATCAATGTTTTAAATAATATTACGTAAATTTCAATTGTACATCTATTACATTGTCATGCAGAGGGATCTTATTTGTATAAAATCTTCTAGTATGTCCTGTTGTACCACACTTGCTGCACTTACGAGGCCGGTGAAATTTCTTGGTCAATGGCATTTTAGACGTACTTCTACGTCCAGGAGTACGTCGGCTAACTGCTGGTGGCAACAAGTTATTCGATGAGAAAATGTGATTGGGGACTTCCCACTCGGCTTCATTCGGTACAGGAAATATGGTTTCGACATATGCTGCTCTCCAAGAACCAATCGTGCAATAAGCACTGCATAAGGTGTATGGTGAAACTCCTCTATACATAGCCACTACCACTGCATGTGTACACGAAAAACTCTCTAACTGAAACTGTCTACACGTGCACGTGTTATCATTCAAGTCAACGATGTATCCGAAATTACGTACACATCTCATGGAGAAGCGAAACTGATCCAGTGGTTCTACATATACCTTTCTTGCCACCTATCTTCCTAAGTCGGGGTTAACACACTTGTACTACTCTATGATTCCTCACAACGATCATGAAACCACTGTTGCAGCTTGTCAATGTTCTCAAGTATTGTAAGAATTGGTAACTCTCGATCCTTCTTGAATAAGGCATTGAGCGACTTCGCATTGTTTGACGCCCTGGAAAATGTGATCATGCCCAATGTTCGATCCCCATCTCTGTTAGATACTCCCATGTATCATAGGATTTACTTTCTATTTCGATCATAAACTTTTCAAACTCTTGAAAACTGTAAGCCTCTGCAGCTCTCCTAAATAACGTAACGATGCCCTTGCCTCGATACTTGATCTTCATATCTTCCTGTATATGATACATACAATAACCATGATGTACCTCAGGGAAGACTTCTACGATACCGTTAATTATTGGCTAACCTCGGTCGATTACGTATGCTAGATTCTCGACATCCCCAATTACTTCCCTCAACTTCGTGAAAAACCAACACATCGCCAGATCATTTTCTCCGTCGACTATGCCAAATGCAAGAAGGTAAATTTGGATGTTAGCATCTTGACATGTTGCAATAATCAACTTGTCCCTATATCTCACCTTAAGGTTTGTACCGTTGACTAGGATTAGGGGTCGCATTGCGTTTCGAAATCCTCGAACGCATTGTCTAAGAGTCATAAAGAAATACTTGAAGCGATTCTCGTCATCATTCTCAATAAAAATGTCGATCCAGTATTAATTATTCCCATGTTATAGCAAAACTTGACCAATTTAAATAAACAATAATCATAATTTAAATAATTAAATAAACAATATTAACTAAACTGAAAAATTAACAATTGAATTAAATAATTAATTAGACATTAAATAAAGAATCGATAAATAATTAAATAAATAATTGAAATTAATGATTGAATTAAATAATTAGTTAGACATTAAGTAAACAATTGATTAAATAATTAATTAAACAATTGAAATGAATAATTAACATTTAAAATAAATATTAAATAAACATTTAAACAAAGAAATACCTGGCCAATTTAGCATAACTCTCCTTGGTCGAACCCATCAAATCCTCTAATGCGCATTCTTTGTCCTTCAAAACATTCTAATAGCTCATGACCACCTCGTACTCTCGACGAAAGTCATTAATGATGCTCGGAGATCTGTAGATTGTTCGTGGGTCCTGAAATTTGTGCATTACTTCTCGACCAATTCATGTGCATCCCGTCATTAGGTTCTATACCAGGGTTTGAACAAGCAGTTCAGGCGTATGCAATTCATGTACTTTCACTGACTTACCAGAGGCTCAAGATTTCGAGATCTGTTCTTGCCGAGACCATCAACGTTGAAGGTCTGTCTCTTGACAAGTTCATCGACCACCATGTATCCAACTTAGATTGGGCTATAGAGAAGAGTCAGGCTAGAGAGAAGAGTCAAAATAAGGGCCAATTCATTATTCTCCCATGAAATGAATTCAAGCCGAATAATCGGCACGTGGATTGCCACTTTTTTGAATTGTGTAAAAAAGTCGCAATTTTTATTTAGAAAAAGTGACATTGTGTCACTCTTTGATTTTACACAAAATTTTTATTTGAAAAAACTTTTTTTTTTTTTTGGAGATTTTGTCATTTTTTTGAGTTTGTCACCTTTTAAACTTTTGTCATTTTTTTAATATTTCTCACTTTTTTATCTTGTTAAAAAAATGATATGATATGTGATATTTTTTTAACATAATCAGCATGTGGCCATGCTCGCCACTACACTCACACGTGTTGTTTTGAATATGCTGAATATGTTAAGAACATGATTACTGGTACTTCACAAATGGATGGTGCTATTTTGGTGTTTGTCACTTTTTTTTTTTAGTTTATTGTCACTTTTTTTGAATTTTGTAAAAAGTGACAATTTTTATAAAAGAAGTGACATTGTATCACTCTTTAATTTTACATAGTATTTTTTATTTTCGAAAAACTTTTTTTTAAAGATTTTGTCACTTTTTTTTAATAATTGTCATTTTTTTTTATATTCATAAAAAGGTGGCATGGTAGGTTATATTTTCCTAAAATAATCACATATGAATTGTCATAGACATGCTGGAAATGTTAAGACCATGATTTCTAGTGCTACACAAATGAATGGTATTATTTTGGCGTTTGTCACTTTTTTTGAGTTTGTATCATCTTTTTATTTTTCACTTTTTGAGTGTCACTTTTTTTTTTGAATTTTATCACTTTTTGAGTTTGTGTCACTTTTTTTTTTTTTAATTGTGAAAAAAAGTGATATTGTGTCACTTTTTAATTTTGCACAGTAATTTTTACTTTAAAAGAACTTTTCATATGATTTTTCAAAACACCTCTAATTTTAAGGGCATTTTTGTAAGTTGCCCTACTTTTTTCAGCCTGGCACCTCTAAATTTAAGTGGGCCTGGCACAACTTACTTCCTTGATCCGAAACATAAGGTAATAGCCTTGCATATTGGGAATTCCCAGGAGGTTTAGATCCTCTGGCCAACCCTCTTGTAGGATCCAGGTTTCCAGAATTACACAAGCAACAAACAAAATCACTTGCATCCCACTGTCTACAACTTGTTCACTGTGCATGTGCTTACCCAGAAACCATTTCTATCTGTACTTAAAGAGATCTTCTCAATTATTATGTACGTGTTATAAATCAACGTCGTCAACTTAGAAAATAAAATTCATGATGCCACCGTTCTTGACCTAGTCTTGCTTCAATATGGGTGCTAGTGGAAAGACGAAGACAGAGATCTTTTAAAGATGCATGTGCGACCAGCTTCATATAGAAGCATCTAATAGTCAAATTCGTGCAACCTAAGATGACTTGTCAACTGATTACGAGTATCCGATATGTATCCAAGCTTGGATACTCTTCGACACACTCCGATATGTATTCCCATATCGTAATTTTTTTTTAAAAAGTAGTGTCGGCATACCCATATCATATTGTATTCAAATTATGTATCCAAATCTGTGCTTCTTAAATGCGATCATGAAATATTGATTATTAAACATTTTTATAAGTTGTCATCAAGACA